ATATATATATATATATATTAAAATTTTGCTTTAAATAACAGAAAGAAAATTGTCCTTATGAGAGAGAATTTTTTATTATATAGCAAATTAAAGCAAATATTTTTTTCTTATTTACTACTTATGGAACATAGTTACATAAGTTGTAGTAGTCATATGCGTCACGCACTTAACAATCTAACTCACCTTAATATGATTCAACGCCAAAGGACCATTGAGTGTCCTTGCAATAGCTTTCTAGCCACCATCTAAGGACCGTTGAGTTACATTTCCCACTTTCAAGAGATGACTTTGTCATTTGTGAAGGCAGTGAGACTTATAAAGCTACAAAACATGTGTGATAAAAAAGAAGATTAAGCCTCAAATGAGGGAATCCAACACATAATTTTGAATTGCAATATACACTTATGTGTGTGGTGGTCAAATAATAGTTATTAAAGCATTAAATATGACATTTTCCCTAATGCAAGAATCAAACATGCATGATAACAAATCTCTCACTTCCTACTTTACACATAGTAATAATAATAAATATTTTAATTAACTCACCTTCTTTGTTTACGAATCACTCTTGAAAGATACATAAGAATCAAAGAACTAAATGTATATTCAAGTATGCCAAATGCTTGGCACAATCAAGGTCAATTTTTCTTGAGGCGAGTTTATGATGTAAGGTAAACTTGCCAAAAGATATATTGCACTCATCTACACCACATGAGTAACTTGGTCTAGCTCGAAGGGCTACTCGTCATAGCTTGAGTGGCCACTAGCCCAAGCTGGAGGGGTTACTTACCCTAGCATGAGGAGCCACTTACCCAAGACAATAAAAGATGATCATCCATGCATCTTTCTAAAAACTTGCGACCTTAGCTATCTAGTTGACGAATTTTTTCAACTACTAGCTTTAAGAGTGATTCTTGTGTGCTTATTAAGGCTCTAACTACTGTATCTATATGTGCTTCGTAGAGCATTAATCATCATGTCCATATGTTTGTAACTATCATATCGTATACTTATTATTCTTTTCTTAGGAGGTCAACTTGTAACCTCTCTTCTAAAGTCAAAAGCCTTATAAACATAGAGTCAAAGAGTCCTTTTTCACATATATAATTATTTTGGACATTGTTTTGATAATAAAATCCTCAATGCATCTCTCACTATTCTCCTAAAGTCAAAAACCTTTCTAACTCTCCACTATTCTCCTATGATCTTATTAATCTTTCAAATATGATTTTAATATTACCACAAATGAATGTGAATCCAACACTCAACTCTATTTTTTTTACTACTATAGACCATCATTATAGGATTAATTATTATGGGCGGAGACTGGACAGCATTCGAAGACGAATGAGAGTGTGCCACATCACTTTTTTTTACTGTGTATCAGGTGACATAGCGCCCTCTCATTTGTTTCTAAACGGTCCGACATTCGGACATAATAATTCTCTCATTATAGAGTTGCGATTGGTTTACTTTATTAGGTGTTGGAAACCGAATCCAATTAGAATTGAGCTTAAGTCAACTCAAGGTTTCAACTTTCAACCATGTTTCTGCTACTCCCTTCCTTGTGGTGTGAACTAGATTAATTTTTTCTATGCATTAACTTTACCTATATTTTGATTTGTTTATCTTAGTTTAATTTGGATTTATTAGAAGCCAATCCCTTCTTGTGCTCTTCCTTTTTTTTTTTTTTTTCTATTACTTAGTCTTATATCATTTAGGTATAGTTTGCACCAAAATTTTATGTCCATTGATTTATTTATTTATTATGTCCATATTTAGTTAGAAGTACCTGAAAAACATTAAAAAAATAAAAAAACAAAGTACCTGAAAACATGTAATGAAAATTGAAAATATTTTAATTAAAATTAATTTTCACCAACCTTTTTTTGCTTGAAATGGAATTGAGTGAAAAAACAATTATTCTTTTTATTTGAAATTCTATTATTAAAAGGGGACATAAGAAAAAGTTAAACATCAATTTAATTTATGAATAAATAATTATTTTTAAATTCATTTATTTTCTTAGTTAAAATTTTAACTAATTTTTATATCCATCATTTTTATAATAATATTTTAGTCACTCAAATATTTAATTTTAATATCATATTTTACTTTTAGTTTGAATAAGAAATGTTAAATAGAAGAGGTTATGCAAAAGAACATAAATTAATTTTTATAATAATATTTGATGTATTCTCAAAAAATTATCTTGATCGGGCACGAATCTGAGGCAAAATCGAGCCAGAAAATTCAAAAATTAAATCTAGGAGCATCTAAACTTCGATTTCAACAAACTTATAGTCAAACTGAACGTCTCGGAAATATGAACCCAACGACGCCAAATTCAATTCAATCCAAGCCCAAATGAGTCCAAATCAAGGACCCGAAGTGTTGTTAGAAAGTTCGTATCACAATTTGAGTTACCAAACAGTCTCCGAACTTAACGAGCTTATAGTCAAATCGAACGGCTCGATGAGACGAATCCAACGAGCCCAAGATCGCCGAATTACGACATCATTAAGATCTTCAAATGTCTGATGAACAGTGCACGATCAAGGGATTCAATATCAGCCGTTCATTCGACCACTCCTTATTTGCCCATAATCTCACACATATTTACAAGCTATGCCACTCCAGAATATCTATAAATAGACCCCTCATTTCTCTTGATAGGGGACCCTAGCAAGAAGAAGAGAAGAAGATGAGAAGGATAAGAGAAGGATATGAGGGAATAACTCCTCGACCACCGTCAGAGTTCTGCCCGACGCCAGAATTTTGCCAGACTTCTGAACGATGTCGGAGTTCTGCCTGACGCCCAAGTGACATCAGAGTTCTACCTGACGCCAGAATTCTGCTCGATCTCCAAGTGACGCCGGAACTCTACCCTATTAGAGCACACAGGACCAACATAAATATAAGTTGTATTGCCTTATGTACTACCTAGTATATAGCCTTTATGCCTATAAATAAGGAATGACTGTATAAGCTAAATGATATACAAGAATACCTTTTCCTTTACTTCTTATGTATGTAACCTTCTTCTCCATTCGACTCCGGCAAAACTCCTTCCGTGAGTTTCCACATACCCGACATTGTAATTGGATCTCAATCCGAAAGTGATGCATTGTAAACTGAACGCCCTAAATTTTAAGGACAAACCAGCCTCTTATACTTCAAACAAATACTAGTGGAATTATTTCAACTGAGGGTGACCCCGTTTTTTTTTTCCTTTCCAGAATTTTCCACGTAAAAATCCTAGTGTTTCTATTTCTTCATTGTTTGTGCTAGATATTCGTATAACGCTAAGACAGAAATTTTTTAACTCTATCGCCGCGTAATTCTAGTCCGCAACAATATTATTAACTTTATAAGTTTTAATCACATATATTTAATGCACCTATAATTAAACTAATTTTTAAACATCTTTCCCATAATAACTTTATAATTAATTTTGTATATTAGTAGGTGCGAACTGAGATAAAAAAGTCAAAATATGCTAAAATAAAATATTTTAATATTCTCAATTATATTAATCTTAATATAATTTTAAATATTTAAAATATATAATAATATATTTACATTATCAGAATTTTTTTTTCTGTTAGCTGCGCCAAATTCTACTGGTCAAATCCAATTTAATAAAAGAAATACGTCTAGCTGTTATCGGCTTCACACTTCATTCTCCAATTGTACGCGATAAAGAAACCAACCAAAAGGACCTCTTGACTTCCTGACTCCCAACTTAACTATAAGAGCTATTTGCACGGAGAATTCTCCGCTACCTCCTCCGCCAAGCCTTTCTCCGCCTCCATGAAGTCCAAACCTCTCACCCTCCTCTTCCTCCTCCTCCTCTTCTCCATTTCCCCCAGCTCCAATGGCGAAACCGAAGCCGAGGCGCTTCTGCAATGGAAATCCACACTTCTTAATCCCTCCCTCTCCTCCTGGTCTCCCGCCAACTCCGCTTCACTCTGCAGCTGGCAAGGCGTAACCTGCAACTCCGGCGGCCGTATCACGGCCTTGAATCTCCCCAGCTTCGGCCTTAATGGCACCCTCGGCGAGTTCAATTTCTCCGCCTTAGGCGGACTTAAGCAGCTTAATCTCAACAATAACCTCCTCTTCGGTCCCATCCCAACCAACATCTCCGCTCTCTCAAATCTAACCTTACTCGATCTCAGCGGTAACAGTTTCACCAGCATGCCGTCGGAGATCGGTAGTCTCTCGGAGATAGAGGAGCTTCTGTTGTTCCAAAACAATCTCGCCGTTGCCATTCCTTACCAGCTCAGCCATCTTCGCAAGGTTCGTCGCATTGACCTCGGATCAAATTACCTCACCAACCCTGATTACAAGATGTTTGAGGCCATGCCTTCGCTCGTCAATCTATCGCTCTCACTCAACTCTCTGGACGGAGAATTCCCTCCCTTTGTCCTAAAATGCACCAATCTTACCTATCTCGATCTCTCCGTGAACAATTTCTCCGGCCGAATACCGGATTCAATCGCAACAAATTTGATTAATCTGGAGCACTTGAACCTGAATGTTAATGCCTTCAGAGGTGAAATCCCAATTTTCCTTGCAAAGCTGCCCAGGCTCCGGCAGCTCAGCCTCGGGTCGAACTCTCTGACGGGAGGAGTTGATCCGATCATCGGCACCATGTCCAATCTCCAGGTATTGGAACTCTTCGGAAACTCTCTCGGTGGTCCGATTCCTTCTTCTCTCGGAAAACTAGGGAAGCTCGAGTATCTTGACTTAAATTTAGCTAATCTGAACTCCACCATCCCTTCAGAACTTGGCTCTTGTACCAACCTCTCTTTTATAAATCTCTCCGACAACCAGCTCACCGGTGGTCTGCCTTCGTCTTTCTCGAACCTTACCAAGATGATGAACTTCGGGATATCGGGAACCTCGCTTTCCGGTGAGATATCACCGGATTTGTTCACCAGATGGTCCGAGCTTGTTTCATTTCAGATTCAGAATAATAATTTCTCTGGGAATATTCCGGCGGAGGTCGGGCTGGCCACTAATATGACCTACTTGTTTCTCTACAACAACAACTTTACAGGATCAATCCCGCAGGAGATCGGCAACTTGATCAACTTGATTAAGTTGGATTTGTCGGTGAATTCGCTCACTGGACCAATCCCGAAAACAATTGGAAATCTAAAAAAATTGACTTCTCTAAGCCTCTTCTACAACAATCTCAACGGCACAATTCCGGCAGAGATCGGAAACTTGACGGCATTGCAGTCTCTTGACATCAACACAAACCAATTTGAAGGCGAGCTCCCGAACACCATCTCTCGGCTTGAGAACCTGCAGATCTTCTCCGTCTTCACCAATAAACTTTCCGGCAAAGTCCCTGCCGATTTTGGCCAGAACAGCTCATTGACAATCGTTAGTTTTTCAAACAACAGCTTCTCCGGCGAGCTACCTGCGAACCTCTGCAGCAGCCTCACGCTCCAGAATCTGACTGTAAACGTCAACAACTTCACCGGCCATCTGCCTTCTTGCCTCCGAAACTGTTCCCAGCTCATGCGGCTGCGTCTGGAAGGAAACAGTTTCGTGGGAGACATATCGCAGGTCTTCGGTGTTCATCCATTACTCGACTACCTGGATCTCACTGGCAATCAGCTAACCGGCACGCTCTCGCCGGAATGGGGGCAATGCCAGAATCTCACCTACCTTCACATCACAGAAAACAGCATATCCGGCGAAATTCCGGCCGAGCTTGGGGAAATCAGCAAACTACAAGATCTCAACCTGGCTTCCAACTTTTTGACAGGGCAAATCCCGGCAGAATTGGGAAATTTGATCTTGTTGTTCAAGCTCGACCTGAGCAAAAATCTACTTTCCGGCAAGATTCCTAGCCAGATCGGCAACATATTCAAGCTCGAGATCCTCGATCTATCAGAAAACAAAATAAGCGGCGAAATAACACCAGATCTTGGCAATCTAGGCCACCTGTTGCTGTTGGACCTGCGTGGAAACGAATTGTCGGGATCGATACCGTACCAGCTCGGCAACCTCGGTGCTCTGCAGACTTTGTTAGATCTCAGCAGTAACTTGCTCACAGGAAGCATCCCTTCCAATTTGGAAAAACTTACGGCACTTGTGAATCTCAACGTCTCTCACAACTCTCTCTCCGGCGAGATTCCGAAGCAGTTATCCGGCATGCGGAGTTTATCAACGGCGGACTTCTCCTACAACAACTTCACCGGCCCCATTCCCGTCGGACTAGCTGCTTTTCTCAACACCTCTACATTCGCCGGTAACTCACTGCTCTGTGGAAACCTGACTGGCTTGCCTTCTTGCTCAACCTCTGGCATTGGAACTCGGAAGACAAGCAACCATAAAAAGCTTATCATTGCCATTGTCATCCCGATAGCAGTATTATTTCTACTTGCCATAGCTGCAACAACGCTTATTGTGATTTACTGCAAAAACAGGGAAAAGGAGATCTCTGATACCGGAAGCATAAGCGCGGAGAATGGCGCTGAACTGTCGTCGTTGATATGGGAAAGAGAAGGCAAGTTCTCATTCTACGACCTCGTGAACGCCACTGACAATTTCGCCGATGTTTACCTCATCGGCGAAGGGGCCTTCGGAAGAGTATACAAGGCAGATCTTTCGTTCGGACAGGTTGTCGCGGTGAAGCGTCTCCACATGGGTGACGCCGGCGACATCCTAGACGTCAATAGGAAGAGCTTCGAGAACGAGATCAGAGCATTGACCGAGGTGCGGCACCGGAATATAGTAAAGCTCCATGGATATTGCTCGAGAAAAGGGGCGATGTACCTAGTGTATGAGTATTTGAAAAGGGGGAGTTTGGGAAAGGTGCTGTACGGGGAAGAAGGGGAAAAGAATCTGGATTGGGCAAGAAGGGTGAAGATTTTACAGGGTATAGCTCATGCCCTAGCTTACCTCCACCATGACTGCAAACCTCCAATCCTCCACCGCGACATCACGGTGAACAACATCCTGCTGGACTCTGATTTCGAGCCCCGGATCTCTGATTTCGGAACGGCGAAGTTGCTCGATCCTGCATCTACGAACTGGACCGCAGTTGCAGGCTCTTATGGCTACATGGCACCTGGTAATTCCATTTGCATCTCCATTTTCCAATGAAATGAAGCTCGTTTTGTCTCTTACAAATCCCTTTTTTGTCCGCAGAGCTTGCTTACACGATGAAAGTGACGGAGAAAAGCGACGTGTATAGCTTCGGAGTGGTGACGTTGGAGGTGATGATGGGGAAGCACCCAGGGGAGCTGTTATCGTCGCTGCCATTGCTATCGCGGAAGGACATACTGGTGAAGGAAATGCTGGACCAGCGGCTGACGCCGCCGACCGGTCAGTTGGCAGAGGAGGTGGTTTTTATTATAAAGATGGCTCTTGCCTGCACACGAACCGGACCGGAGTCCCGGCCCACGATGCGACTCGTGGCACAGGAGCTTGCGGCTCGGACCCAGGCCTACCTACCCGAGCCATTAGGAGCCATCACAATTAGCAAGCTAGCAAGGTTTTAGAAATAATTAAAGGCCCGTTTTGAGGGCTATATTTTTTTTGGTAAAGTTAATTATAAAGTTATTGTAGATAAAATAATTTTTTTAGAACAGAATAATTTTTTAGAAGTTGTTGTAAAAATAACTTGTTGCGGGCTAGAATATATGCAGCGATAGAGATATAGTTCTTCGTCTTAGCGTGATATGGATATCCAGCTCATACATAGAGAACATAAGATTTTTTACGTGGAAAATTCTGGAACGTAAAAACCACCCAAGGCCTAGGTCAGTTGAAAATGATTCAATTAGAATTTGAGTGGAGTAAAGTGGGCTGACTCGTCCTCGAGTGAGATCAGATTACAAATGTCAACAGTATGGTTGTAGTTTAGTGACAAATAAGGATGAAAGTCTGGCGTCACTTGGTGCTCTGGTAGAAGTCTAGTCGTCTGTTGGTGGTCCGACGAAAGTCCCGACATCAGTCGGTGATATGGTGGAAATCTGGCGTTAGGCAGTGATTTAGTGGAAGTCCAGCGGAAGTATAGGCGATAGTTAGGGGTCTGGCAGAACTCTGACGTCCAACAGTGGTATGGCAGAACTCTGGCGTCCGGTGTTGGTACAACGAAACTTTGGGCGTCAGATGGTGGTCCGGCGGAACTCCAGGTGTCATATGATGGTCCGGCGAACCTCCGACATCAGGTGGTGGTCCAGTGGAACTTAGCGTCAGGTGGTGGTCTGCAAAACTCCGAGCTTCAGGTGATGGTCCGATGGAACTTCAGCGTAAGGTAGTTGTTCGGTGGAACTCCAATGTCAGGTGGTTGAGGAGGAGAAAGGGGTAAGTGTGATCTCTGATCTCTCTTATTTCATTTTGCTTGGGTCATTTTCAAGAGAAAGGAGTGGTCTATTTATAGATTTCCTATAATTGTATGGTCTGTAAATATGAGGAAGATCAAGGGTAAATGTGAAGTAACTTGGATGGACGGCCGATGTAGAAACACTTGATCATGGACCATTTACTGGGCATTTTGTACGTATTAGTTGTGACACCCCAATGATCTAACTTGGAATAATTATTCTTTTAATCCTTTAAACCATCAACTATCAGAGCTATCTATAGTCACCAATCAGTGAATAACAATACAACATTTTCTATAATTTAAAACATCAGTGTACACAATTATTCCTTCCCAAAAGTCATTTACAATACTCAGGATTTATATATTAATCACATATATCTATCATGTTGTGAGTACAAAAAGAATCACTATAACAAAAAGAGAATAGAACCTGAAGATTCCTGATCAATCTCACACTCCTGCTCCTTTGTCCTGACCTAAAATTGTTAACCACATATAATGAGCTTAAAAAGACAAGCATGCCACTAAATACCTACAACTGAAATCAAAGCACGGTGCAGAAGTAATATGCATGTCAATCAGTCAAATCATAGCAATCGCTTATACATGATCATTGAATCGATGCAAAAAACAGATATCAGTGCATAAACATTAATCAATGCATAACCATTATCAATACAAAGACAGTAGAATTCACAATCAACAGTAGTAAAATCAGTAAATAGTAGAAAAACGCATAAAGCTCAATAAACTAGTACATACGTTAAATCTTTAAAGAAATCATCATATCTATAACTTCAGTTGATTCAATAGAGAAATCGTCATATCTAAAACCTCAGTCAAATTATTAAAAAAAATTATCGTATTAGTAATATCAATCAAATTAATAAAGAAATCATCTCCGACAATAATATCAGTCAGTATAAAATCGTATAAAGCATCAAATCAATAAATCGTTTGTAACTGTTAAAATCAAATCAATGAAATAAAATCATATCGGAATGTACACTTGCTATCCAGTTATTTGATATTACGTTCACATGTAATCAATTTAATCTATATCACATGCATAATGTTAGTATAGTGACTCAGTGGTATTAGTGCCTATATCAGTGTTTGTATCAGTAAAAATCTAGTGATAGAAATAGTAATACAATGACAGTAACAGTGAAATAGTACAGTAACAATAAATCCGTACAATAACGACAAATTCGTATAATAATAAGAATAATGCTTTAAAACATGCATTTCAGTTGGCACACTAAACAAGTAGAAGTCATGACTATTATGACGTTTTTCAGTGTTATTATCAGTGTTAGTAAACAGTTGGCTTAGTAAATAGAGTCGTCACTCTTTGCCCGTCAGCACATTAATAATCTCCTCATAACTCCCAATCAGTGTATCACGTGAATTAGTAGAGGATAACACCAAACCGTAGTATTTAAAAGAAAGCACGTCGGCCAACCATCTTGTACAGGTAAATCAATCTCCAACCAACGGATCAACTAGTTTTTACTTGTTTGTTTCACACACATATAATATTATCAATATACTATAACAGTAATATCGACCAACTATTACTTAAGTACATATCTACATCCATTTAATGCATTATAACAAATAGTGCATGATTAAGCTTAATTCAGAAAACCCTTAAGATATTGTACATTAATTAGACAGAAATTCCAGACATAATTAAAATACACAGTTTCAAAAAATTACCAAATTATCAGAAATCGTGTAAAACATCATTTCAAAGCTTTTATTGAACTCAAGCCATTTTTTTCAATGTCCATATAATTTTCTATTCGATAAAAACCCCATAGAAGTCAAAATACCCAGTGAAAAATCACAAATAAATACTCAAAATACTCGTAATCACGTTCTCTATATCGTACAAAAAGTTACACGGTAAAACTTTCGTCAATACAAAGATATGCACATTTTTTGGTAACGAAAACACAAATTTGAGCAGAAAAATACCAAAACACGAAATCTTCGAAATCAGAAATATGATATGGATTCCTTACTGCGAGACAAACAATTCTGAGGATATGGATTCCTTAGAATTCAGTGATCTTGGGCTCGTTGGATTGCTCTCGTCGAGACACTCGATTCGACTATAAGCATGACATGTTTGAAAACTATTTGGAAATCCAAATTGCTGTTTGAACATTCAAACAACACTTCAGATCCTTGATTTGAACCCATTTTGACTCGGATTGAGTCGATTTCGGTGTTGTTGGGTTTGTAATTTTAAGACGCTCAGTTTGACTATAAGTTTGTTGAAATCGGAGTTCGGATAGTCCCAATTTTAATTTTGTTGATTTCCAACTTGATTTTGCCTCGAGATTCATGCCCTATTCATGAGCTTTAAACAATGTTATTCGTGAATATAAATGAGGCATACATATAATTGTTCAAGATTATTTGATTACTTAATCAAGCTATTACAAACGAGCTTTAGGCTTCATTTGGGATGGCTTTTTTACAGCTTCTTAGCAGTAAATAAGCGGTCCCAAATGAAATCTTAATTGAGTCGAGCCAAGAGTAACTCTTCGAATGCTAGTTTCATTTGCAACCCTAAATATTTCCACACTAAAAGTTTAGTTTGGATTCCATGTTTTATTTGCTTCTACTAAAAAAAAAAAAAATTGATCCTAATAAAGCACAATTTGATTATCTATAATTTTAAACACTAATTTTTTTTATATTACTCATATTATTTAATTGATATTTATGATTCCAAGCATTAAAATTTTGAAGGGGCAAAAATTAAATATTTGAATAAATTTTTTATTTTTAATAAAAAAATATGATATCTAAAAATATTTTAAATTTAAGTGGGGCTAAATGCACTTTCATGTGCTCTTGAAAGAATGAAAGGGATTGCATTGGATCCTTTATATTCATGCATGAAGTAAAATAGTTAGTAGTGTATAAAATATATATTTAAGTATTTTTAGTATAAGCATTTTTGAAAGATACAAATGTTTTTTTTATAACCATAACCCTAAAAATTTTATATTTTTATTGATAATTTTTATTCCAATATAATTGAATTTTGCATTGAGCTCTATAATAGATAAGTGATAGATAAATTTATGAAATTTGGACATTCATTTTCCCCATAATTTATCCTCTTTTTCAGGAGGTTTATTCGTGAAAATTATGATGTCTCTTATGAATGTTATACCCCTCTCTTTTATCTGATTGTGTGGTGGATCATTGTACAAAGCTAGGACATTAAACTTTATATTTCTCTACCACAACAAATATTTTAGGACACAACAAATATCATAATCAATAATATTCAATTAAGGAAATTAGGACCATTTTTATGGGTTTGTTATTAATCTCATTGAATAGAAAGTAAAAAAAAAAAAAAATTAATATTATGCTTAGTTTGAGAAGAGTTTTCTTAGGAATTCCCTTTCTTAATACAAGATAAAACATTGGATTAAGATTTTTAATGTAGTATATTTCTGAAAAAAGTAACTACACAATAAAAATGTTACTAAAAAAGCTAGATTAATTATACTTTTGTTGGTTGAAAGCTTAGGCTATCTAAATATGATTATTATGAAAAACTTATTATTATTATTATTATTTGTTTCCCAAGAGATATTTTCTATCCATATATATATATATAATCAATCTCTTATCAATGAATTTGCATATTGATTTATTATAATGAATAAATTTATTAGTATTTATTAATATAATGAATAAATTTGTTCTATTTTTGAACTTGTTTAAGCACATGTTCAAATATGTGATTTGGGCTCATTTGGATTCAAAGCAAATCATTTTTGAAGTCATTAAGTTGGCCTTATTATGCCATTCAGTTTGACTTTAAATTTGTTAAAATATGAGATCTATTGATTCTGAATTTAAATCATGAGATTTTTAGTTTAAATATTGCTAAAGATTTATCAATTTGCGGTATATTACAAATGACTATAACATTTTATACAATTGGTTGTGAAATTGTTATGGATAAAGTAAATTCGCTAGTATGTTTGTATAAATTAAAGTAGCTTTCTGTCACATAAATTTCTGAAAAATAGTGAGAAAACAATAAGAAAATAGTAGCCAAATAAAATTATGGTTGTTATATTAAAAATAAATTAACCAGAAAGTTGCGCCAAACATATGCTTAATTTTAGTTTAAGAAGACAAATTTTGGCACAAAAACAAGCATTTATCACACTATGGGGTCAACAACATGACTTTTTTTTCATTATTTGCATCCTATTAATAGTAGTGTTGCATTCAAGAGTATTCGAGTGGTAGAGAAATATAAAGTTTAACGTCTTAGCATTGTACGAAAATCCGGCACCCAATCAGATAAGAGAAAGGGTCTAGCATTTATGAGACACCAATATTTTTACGTGGAAAACCTCTAAAAAGGGAAAAAAATCACAATGTCTGACCCAGTTTAAATAAATCCACTAATATAGCAGTTGATTATAAATGAGGCCCTTCCTTGGGAGAAAGCCTTAGCTTGATGTACATTTTATAGAGTACATTACATGATGTGAATACAAAAAATTACTATTGACATGTTCGTTTGGTCGGGAGGACTATAGTCTAGTGACGGAGGTCAGAAAAACTGTAGTCTGCGGACGACGTAAGTTAGGAGGACAATAGTCGACTGGCGAAGGAGGTCAGAAAGACTGTAGTCGGTGGGTGACCTAAGTCAGAAGGATCGTAGTCGGCGGGTGACGGAGGTCCAAAAGACTGTAGGCAGCGGGCTATGTAAGTTAGGAGGACCGTAGTCGGCGGGTGACGTAAGTCAGGAGGACCGTAGTCGGTTGGCGACGGAGGTCAGAAGGACTGTAGTCGGTGGACAACATAAGTCAGAAGGACCGTAGTTGGCGAGCGACGGAAGTCGGAAAGACTTTAGTCGGCGGGCGACATAAGTCAGGAGGACAGTAGTCGACGGGCGACGGAGGTCGGAAAGACTGTAGTCGGCGGGCGACGTAAGTCAGAAGGACTGTAGTCGGCTGGCGACGGAGGTTAGAAGGACTGTTGTCTGACTACGAAGGTCAGAAGGACGGCATCAGGTAGAAGTCCGACGTCTGTTGGAGGTCGAGGAGAACTCTGATATCACTTGGGCGGAGTTTAGGCGTCAGGGGGGAAATCTGTCGTTACTTGAGCAGAAATTCAGCATCCTGTGGAAGTCAGAAAGAATTCTGGCGTTCCGTGGAAGTCGGACAGAATTCCGATGTCCCGTGAAAGTCAGGCAGAATTCTAGCATCATTTGGAATTCAGGCGGAACTCTGGCGATGGTCGAGGAGGAGTCTCTTCCCTCGTATTCTTCACTTCTCCTTTTTGCTTCTTTCTTCTTGCTTCGGTCCCTTCTCAAGAGAAATGAGGGTCTATTTATAGATTTTTCTCGAGTGGTATGGCCCGTAAATAGATGAGAGATCAGTGGAAAATATGGAGTGGTTCGGATGAACGGTCGATATTGAATCCTTCGAGCATGGACCTTTTATTAGGCACCTTTTATTAGGAATTTGAAGGTCTTAACAAATTTGGAATTCTTCAATCTTGGGCTCGTTGGATTCGTCTCATCGAGCCGCTCTATTCGACTATAAGCTCATCAAGTTCGAGGACCGTTTGGTAACTCGAATTGTGGTACGAACTTTCTAACAGCTCTTCGGGTCCTTGATTTGGACTCATTTAGACTCAAATTGAGTTGAATTTGGTGTCGTTGGGTTCGTATTTATGATACGCTCAGTTTGACTGTAAGTTTGCTGAAATCAGACAGAATTCCGGTGTCCCGTGAAAGTCAGGCAGAATTCTAGCGTCATTTGGAGTTCAGGCGGAACTCTGGCGATGGTCGAGGAGGAGTCTCTTCCCTCCTATTCTTCACTTCTCCTTTTTGCTTCTTTCTTCTTGCTTCGGTCCCTTCTCAAGAGAAATGAGGGTCTATTTATAGATTTTTCTCGAGTGGCATGGCCCGTAAATAGATGAGAGATCAGGGGCAAATATGGAATGGTTCGGATGAACGGTCGATATTGAATGCTTCGATCATGGACCTTTTATTAGGCATTTGAAGGTCTTAACAAATTTGGAATTCTTCAATCTTGGGCTTGTTGGATTCTTCTCATCGAGCCGCTCTATTCGACTATAAGCTCGTCAAGTTCGAGGACCGTTTGGTAACTCGAATTATGGTATGAACTTTCTAACAGCGCTTCGGGTCCTTGATTTGGACTCATTTAGACTCAGATTGAGTTGAATTTGGTGTCGTTGGGTTCGTATTTCTGATACGCTCAGTTTGACTGTAAGTTTGTTGAAATCAGAGTTCATATGCTCTCAGATTTAATTTTTGAAGTTTCCGGTTTGATTTTTGCCTCGAGATTCGTGCCCGATCAAAATAATCTCTTGATGACATATCAAGTAGAAATTTGGCTATTCAAAAATATTTTTTGATTTTAATTAAATATTTTTACTTAAATTTTTTTATTTATTTAATTGTTTTTATGAGGTCCATTTGGCACTTATTCCACTTATTGAGACCGCATGAAACTAAATCTATTCAATTAAAATATTAATATTTTGACTTTCTTGTTTTGCAAGTCAGTGAAGACGGCCAAAGCTATTTTTAAACATCAACGCGCTTAGAACTGATACGTTGACTGATATGATGCAGTATTTGTTAGAAATAATAAATGGTCTGATATGATAAACTCATAATGATATGACCTAAGAAATTAAGATTTGGGTTTATGGGATTAGGTTGGGTTCTGATTTTAAATTTTGACTTGATTAAATTTTAGGTCGTGTTGTGCTCAGGTTAACTCAAAAATACAAAATTGACTTGAAATTTACCTGCTATTATGCAGGTTTTGGTTGAACTGGTTGGGTTTAGATTAAATGGGTTATGCTGATCCAAAAAAATCTATATGATCAAGCAGTAAATGGGTTAATCAAGTCGAGTTTGGGCTAAGTTGAGTTCGTGTCAAGCATTTTAACTCATATAATAAATGAGCCAGTTTTAGCTCAAGAAAATTTTGGTCGGTCGGTTCAACTTTGAGTCAGGCTCAAACCAAAACCATCAACTCGAATTGACACATCTAGAATGGGCTATGTTGGTTTGCAATGACTAAATGAAAAGTTTGAATGTGGTACTATGGATCACTAGAAAGTCATGAATCCCTAATATGTGCTATAAATGAGATGCAATACAAAGAAGACAATAATTTTATTGCCCTTGATATCTTATTTTGAGTATTTAGATTAGCTTTGGGCAGAATGATTATTGTCAGCAGTCATAAAGTTTTAGATCATAATGATTCTTCTTATTTTAGTCTTCATGCGAAATGAAAGAAGAATTTGGAAACTCTTATGAACATTCTAGATTCTTCTATGAAGGTCTAATGATGATCATTAATCCCATGGACTTCTATATTGGAATGATGAAAGACTACGATCCACTTGTTTTCAACCTTTGTTTGATGATAGTTATGGTTAGGGGTGTAACTGAGTCGAGCTGGCTCTAACTCAACTCGCCAATGAGCTCACGAGTTGAGCTTATCGTGCCATGAGTTCGAGCTTGAGCCTATAGCCGAGCTCATATATTATACGAGATTAAGCTTGAGCTCAACTAGGCTTGGCTCGTAATTTGTCAAGTCGCTCATTTACATTAAAATATATTTAAAATTATACTAAGTATTTTTAATTATTTCATGAGTCTAGCTCGAGATTAATAATTTAGCAAGAGTTGAAAAAGCTTAGTTCAATTAGGCAGATACTCGACTTGACTCAAGTCATTTACACCCCTAGTCTTGATGATGTATAGTCCTTTTGATGACCTTGTCCATGCTAATGATTTCAGCATACATCGAAGCTTGCGGTGCGACATATGTGGTCCAATTTTAAGAGATTTGTGATGACAGTTAAGAGATTGATTGGGTGGGTCGATTGGGTTATGTAATCTGACAATCTCCCCTTATAAATATATTTCTTAGATATAATGAATTAAGCAAAGATTAGATAAAGAAATCTCAAAAAGTTGGGATATGTTCAATGATGATGATATCAGACCAAGAAATATAATCTTTATCTAGTAACTTGCCATATGGCAGTATGTTACAAGGGATATTGATTGTAAACTCTCTTGATTACTTAGATTTTTATAAGATCCAATGCATCAAGCATTAAATATGAGTAATATTGGATTCCTAGATCATAACTGTTTTAGAAACCAAATCGAGCCAGGGCCAATTACCAACTCAAAAACTAACACCTGAAGCAGTCTTTTCCTTTTTTTTTTTTTTTTGGTTCCAAACAATTCTATCTAGCTTCTAATATCCAATATAATACTATGCGATAAAGTAGTAGGTGAAAATCCTAAAAGCTCGTTCCTGGAGTCCGTTTTGAAGTTTGCCCAACTTTACCAAGTTTGAAGCAGCCATACATACATGTAATGAATGCAGATCAATAGATTTTCATTCATCATAGGCCAACTACTATTTCTCAACAAATAATAAACTATCTTTAACACTTTTAAGGAAGAAATTAAAATTTTTACCATCCGGCTGGAGATTCTTCTTGTGCTCTTCCCGATTTTGGGCACCATGGATGGTCTTTATTAGCAACCAGGGATTGGTTTTGAAGGATGATGATGCATGCAAACTTGTTTTGCTTCCCCTTGGACAGTCAGCTTCGACAACCAGGGGATTTCTGCCCATCTATTTAGATGATTTTGATGCTTTGGTGATCTCGATGTATTTTGCATCCTGAGTTTTTGCATTCTCATTTTTGTTTAGCAACTTTGTTGTTATGATTTCTTCATTTACTTCACGTTTGTTGTGTTGGCATTTGATTTTGATTCTTTTACTGTAATATTATCTTTTCTTAATGATATGGGCTAAGGTCCAAAATTTTCCAAAAAAAAAAAAAATACCAGCCAAGAAATAATGAAACAATCGCAGTAAAATTTTAGATGATTCCAGTTGAACAACATATTATTGAGATATGGAAAGCACTGAATGAAGAGAAAAATAGACTCCGTTGTTACAAGATGAAATGATTTGGCATTGACAAGATTTAGCTCAGTTGAAAAAAGAATAGTACAAAAGAATATAGAATCAATTCCTAATATAATATCCCACACTAGTTCCCTGGCAAAGTTCAGTGCTAAGAGTGATGAGAAACAATGCGATTAAAATCAGGCAAGCTCAGTAGATTTCACATTACTTCATGTTTAAGAGGACTCCATGTTCAGGGCTCTTTCCAGTCGAGTTTCAAATGGAATGTAGCACAAATTCACCATTTTATCCTGAACAAAACAAGAAAACCAATCAGTTTCTTCCATTATATATATATATATAGAACTCATGTATCATTCATTTTTCTTTTACCTCTCTGTATTTGCTAGTTGTGTTCGGAATCCCTCTTTTCTCAGAGCTAGAGCTCCAAGAAGAAGCCGAAGCCTCCTTAGATTTAGAACTCCAATATCCACCCACTGTTCCTACTATAGGAACTTCTTCAGGACTCCTACTTGGGGATCTCCTCGGTGACGATGTTCTGGATGATTGCTTAATGTCCTCCATGGTCAAAGCTCCTAATATAGGACGCTCTTCCTGGCTAATTGAAGAATTTGATAGCCTTGAATTGTTTGGAGAAGCCAACCAGGTTGAAAGGCTTGCATCCAAGGCGATCCCTTGCTTGCCAAAATCATCAGAATTTGAGTTTGAAGAGCTTGACTTATGGGGCTTTTCAGACTTTGAAAAAGTGGGCTCTGGACTAATAAATGGTTTGGTTTTAATATCCAAATTCTCCTTGTTCAGATTCTTCAAGGAAGTAGGTCGAACCTTTACTTCTTTCCAATGTGAAATATTTTCTACTGGGTTCAAAACAGAGTGGATATACCTGCTACGGTCTCGAACATGAGCTTTGGCTAAAATGACCAGCTCCCTCTCTGTATTAGATTCAATAGTGGGTTTGGGGCTGCTAATTTCTTGGATATGTTTCTGCTCACTTTCCATAGGAAGAGAAAAGTAAGAATCATAAGACTCCTCTTCATCCCCATTGATACCAATGTCATTACCTTCATCAAAATCAATTTCATCATCTTCATCTGAAGCTTCGTCATCTTCATTCAAGCCCTCGTCGTCATCGCTGCTTTCACAATTCTGATACCTATGGTTTGGTGGGTAAGATGCCAACTTTGGTTCATCACTGCTTTTTTCCTCCTCCTTATCCTTCTTCTCTTCCTTCACTTCTCTCTCAATCTCATCATCTTCCGTAAAGTCTTTTGGGTCTTCCTGAACTGGAGCAATCTCAAAAGTGGTAACATGCAGATCAAAAGTCACTTTCTTCCTGGCATTGGCAGCTGTTCCCTGCTCCTGGTTTTCTCTGGCAAAAAATAAATAATTAACAAACCCAAAAACTTTATTTCGCTTCTCAAGTCGACATTTTTACAAACACATTGCACACTATAAATTAAAAGAACCCACTGGTAAAAAAAACGGGCATGCCTTAGCTTTGGAAAGGGGTTATCAGTAGCTGCTGCGGTTGTTTCTGAAATGATTTCAATGCCAGAAGAAGAGATCGAATGGAAATAAACGCCGTTTTCTTCCTCCTGTGTAACTACCAGAAGACTTAAGAAAAAAAAAAACAGATCTTCGGCCAGAAGAAGATACGAACATGCACAAAAGAACCAGAATCCAACTTACCTTATTTACAGATAATGATTTCTTCGACCTCCTACATCTTTTACGATCCTTGGAACCCTTGAAACAAACAAGGAAGCAACCCATATCGGTGACAGTGAGGAGTCGCCTACTCCTCTCCCCCTTAAATTTCTTCACCGTTCGCTCTCTTCCGGATGAATCTTCACAAAGAGATGGCTCTTCAAGAGGAGCCAAGAAAACTCCAAGAGGAGATTGAGCCGTTGTAGGAGGAGGAAGGTTGCTGTTCTTCTGGACGAAAGAATCAATTCGACCGTTAGAAAAGCTCTGTGGGTCCCAGCTTAAGGGGTTTTTAAATTACGGCCAGCTGTCCGTCGTCAGAGCTTCTGGCCGATGTCCATACGTTTAAAAATATTGGATCAAATGCTATCCATAGGAAAAATATTAATATTAAATATTAAATTGGGCTTTGTGAAATAATTATTAAATTATTTAGAGAAAAATATTTTGAAGTAACTGTAATTTTTTCATTATTAATTATAGAAAGTATTAAATTATTATGTAACTTATAATTATTTCATTATTATGTAACTTATAATTAATGTATCATATACAACTCATTTTGATCTATTAATTGAAAGTATTGAATATGTGATGTGTTTATTTATCTTATTTGACCCCACACGAATAATTTTATGCTAAAAAAACTGACGAGAATATCAATTATCTAAAGGATCACAAAATCGTTTAAGAAAATAAAACTAAACTTTTAAAACATTAATAAGATAAATGACCTAAGAAATTACAGTAATAAAACAAAACTATTAGACTACTAAATCAAAATGAATAACATCTTAATTATTAAGGATTTAAGCATAAGGCTATCAAAATCGGATCACAAGTTAAGTTCAAATCCAACCAAATACTATTTGACCCGACTCAAACCCAACCAATTTTAACAAACAAATTAATTTTTTCAAACCAAATCCGACCCGCTTCGACTCTGAGTCAACCCAAACTCGACCCTCTTCAAGTATGTTTTACTAAATTTTTTTATTTAATTTAATTCATTTAAAACTAAATCAAATTAAAGTAAAATTTAGTTCAATAAATTTAAAATAAATCAAATTTAATTCAATTTGTACAACATGATTTATTATTATTTGAAAATAATATTTACTTATTTCATAATAATATTTTAAAACCCTCCTAAATATATTAAAAACGAATCAAACCAAGTTAAATTTAAATTAGATCAACTCAAACCCCACCCAATTTTACAAACGAGTCAAAATCGCTACCTCAAACCTGACACAATTTGAGTCAGGTTGACCCAAACCCGAAATTTTCAGATCATGTTAAATATTAACACCCCTACTTACAGATAAACCTCGCCTTCATGCCAACAAATAACTGCTCCATGTCAGCATGTTAAACTTATAAACCAACTGTTCATCTGATCTTCTCATATTAACTTTGTCTGATCTTCTAATAAGAGCTTTATCTGCTTTGCATTGCAGATATCCAAACTTTCCAAATTGATCATTAACTATCAAACTTGCAAAATACTGCATACAATCCTCACCAAAATCATCTACTTCTTAGCAGACTATAACAATAACAAAAAGATTTTTTTTTTCTTAAAGGGATAGAGACCCATTCAAAAAGGTTCAAGAAATTATACAATCCATGGATAGAGTCCCATCATGATTTCTCATACAACATTTGTAGATCATTAGCAGCAATAGCATTAAGGAATACTGTATGACGAACAACAATTCCTACCTTCAGAGCTAATGCCTCTGCAGTCTCAAGCCTCTCTTGTAATACTCTGTCGATTTTCGAAGGATTGGAATCCTTGGGAGGTTCAACAGAATAAACGATTAATGTTTTTTCAATCTCTCCAGCAACTGAGGAAGGGATGCTCGAGCTCAAGTTCTGCAACTGAAACTTGCTTAAAACCTGGCCTCCAGCTTCAGTTGCAAGGTTTTCCAGGTTACATTTATAGGAAGGTTCGAAGAAACCACTGAAGTGGAAAGCTAGTCTGTTGAAAACCTTTGGAGACTATAAAAGCAGAAGGAAAAGGATTAATAGGAAGTTAACGCCATGATTGTGCAGAAAACATGAAGGAAAGAAGGTCTAAGGGGGTCAGAGGTAGACCTTTTGCATGGCTCGAATCCTTCCATTTTTTGGGCCATTGATGCAATCATAGGTATCATGAGTGATCTCATAATTCTCTTCGGGAACAAGGTGTTCAGCTTCCAAGCATGCTTTGATCCCTGCAAGGAGAAATAAGTCAGAGTTAGAATTGGTGATTAGTTAAATCCAGAGTGTAGGAACATTTGTCTTAACTTCAAATCTCTAGATAAGGGGGTAGAGTCAGATTAAGCTTGAGTCACTAAAAATTCGAGCTTAACTAACTAATTGAATTTGAGTTAACTTTTGACTTATAAGCCAACTCATTTATTATGAAAGAAGATTCAAAACTAAACTATAATATGAAAATAATTAAAAGAGTCATAATTTAATAAGGAAATAATAAAAAATCAATTGAGATAAAAGAAGAATCTTTAGTATTTGCAATAATTATATACATAAATTATTGAATTATACTATACTTTAAATAGATTTTACATTAATGTTTTGTTAAATGAGCTCGCCCACAAACAGACGAGTCGAGTCAAAAATAGCTTAAACTTAGATTGTTAGCCCATCAAACTCAATCTAAAAGCTATTAATTGAGCCAAATCTGAGCGACTCAAGAGTCAGCTTGACTCACTAACATAACCACAATTTCCCAAGAATAAAGCATGAGGTAAAGAACTAAGCAATAATATGAGATTTAACCTAAAACTGTGAAGAAAAATAATATAATTTTACATGAGAGTTCAAGCAAAATCCTTGTAAGAAAATTTTAACAGTATTAACTTCATTCTACACCGAATTTGTAATGTTACATATTTACTTTATAATCATTTAGTTAGGCATCTGAAATTAAACAGTTCTAGGGAAAAAACATTAATCAGGATACCCATACAATTTGAATCAGGATGGGAACTAAAAAAGTTTAAAGTGATGGAAACAAACACTCGAAGTTAGAAAAAGTTCTGAGCAGAAATAGAAACAACCACCAAAAAATATTTTTCTTAACAGAAAATAGTAACTTCAAACTTCTAGTGCTTTCGACCAAATTGTTAACATTTCTCCTTCCTCATCTTGACACACAAATAACATCAGAATATCCTGATACAATATTTTCCCACATTTAGGTGTATGTTCACTATTTCAAGAAAAAAAGATGTTAGCCAGGCTTGACCACATGGGTGGTATAGAGGCAGATTAAGGATTATGCGATGAAAAATCCTTTGCCTCTGGAAAATTCACATGCAAGGCTTTCAATGTTGAAACAATTTGGTGATAATGATGACCTCTTCAGAATTTAAAACAATTTCAAATTATATTAAATAGTTGAACTCTTTTTATCATTTAAGCTGTTCATTTTCTAAAGCTTGTCCTAAATATGGAAATCATTCAGTTAAATTTGCCATCTCAATCAGTAGATAAGAATAAGCTCTTCAAAGTTCTGTTAGCAGATACCTACAAATACATTTTTTTCAGCTAAACAAGGACAACTAGAAATAGAACCCTCAACTCATACCTTAATCATAATCCTTAGTCCACCTTCATGGCATTTCTTGAGACCTCGCCCATGGATACTCACAATCGCCATGGCAGCTCATAGTATAACCAGCAGAAAAATTCATTCATCGCGTGTATTGTTTAATCATTCGAAGTGCATATTTTCACTGAAGTTTATCTTATTTATAATTAACAAAGTATCAAAATATGAAGATAAAAAAAATTACAAACCATAAATTGCCAATCCCAAAATATGAAGATGTGTGGTAAGTTTGAAACCCAACCAAAAAACATGTACGAAAACCCATAAATGAATCATTGATAAATGTATAACAATGTTGAAAGGGCAATCCAAAGTCAAAGCAACAATTGCAATAGCATATTTTAGACTTCCTATGCATAAATAATAATTTCAAATAAATGGTGATAAAAGATACTTACAGCCCATATTTAGAACCCATCTACCATTCAGAATAGCCATGAGATACTTCATTGTTCTGATGCAGGCTCCATCCTCATTTGTAGCGGCAATGACATGGGTCACATTCTGCTTCCATTGATAAGTTACCAGCACACCACTCAATCTAGCAAATTTCTCCAAAATTACCTAAATAATAAACCAAAGAGATAAGGGGAAATGAGATGAAGCTTGAGAAATCAACAGAAATTATAAGATTTATGTTATGAACATATAACTAGTACTCTAGATAATAATATAATTATTATTTTTTCCTATTAAATTATCCTAAAAAAGGTGGGCTTCATAGGAGGGAAGAATTTCTTTATATGTACCTTCTCGTCCTTGGATAGATCAGATCCACAAATCATCCAATCCTTGCTTAGACTAGATGAGGACATCCAAATTGTGTGAGGTCGTTTTGCATTAGATAATGTATCATAATCCGATGAAACCAAAGGCTCGCTGGCAATTGGTGATATATGAAACAGTCAACATGTAACAACATATAGTTAAAATCTACACATTCACATTGCCACTAATCAATAAAACAAAATGAAAATGCAATTGAAATAAAGTTGAGATTTTGAAAATGAATAATACACTAATGCACTATTAGATTTCTTTGTCTTCGGTTTGTCACAAGGTAATCTCCTCGAAGCATGAGTCGGACAGAGCACAAGATAATTTTCCTGACACAAAAAAATGCATAGATGGACTCAATAAGCAACATATTCCAACTAAGTTACACGGTGAAGAAAACTTACAGTATCCCAGCGACATTCTAGTATTTGATATGCACATGGAACATGGAAGCTTCTTTTACAGCTCTTGACATAGCAACCAAGAGCAGCTCCCTTCAATCCACAACTACAACATTTAATCTTGGAAGAACGTGCAAGTTCAGCCTCCAAATTCACAACCTTCTCACCAGAATAATATACTTGAGGAGCCCTATTCAGAAGAAAATAATATATCAAACAGATGAACAAGGCACATCTAGAAAGATATCCAAGACAACAATGTGTGTGTATATGGGTAGAACACTAGTCCTGTGGCACAACAATATTTCCCTTTACTTCAAAAACGAAGGTCAAAGGTCAGATCCTCTCCCTCCATTTGCTCCCTCACTTTTTCCCTCTCCAATAAACTTAAAACTTCTAAGTTGAAAATGATCCAAATCATTAGTGTATCTCACCTAACTTCATTCTTTTAGATTCACACTACATAACAAGTGCTATTAGAGCCAATAGTTTGACTAAGATTGAATGATTCCTGCAATTTGTTGCTCCGAAGAGTTTTTGATGTCATCTACCATGGTTGAGTAAGATTAAAAAAATGAATGATTGCCCCAATGCCTTCAAGAGATTGAGTGAGCTCTTGATGCATGGTAACTTAAAAAGCTTCTATTTAAGGGGATATAATGGCTGGTGTGAAGTGTTTCGTGCACGTATAAGTGTGGTGCAAAGAGTATGAATGTGTAGAAGTAGGTAAAATAAAAGGGCAGACGTTGAGATCAATGCTTGGGTAAATAAAGGGAAAAATGACAATCCAATTATGAGACATGTTTCTTTGGCAGATGCAACTAGCCCAACCATGCTTCTTGGAAAGAGTAGACATAAATCAATCCTTTTATAGGAAGTTTCAACAATTTTGTCAAAAATTGCTTACCAATCTATGCATTTACGATGCACATGTAGGACATTAGGTTGTGAGGCTTGATTTTCAAATATTTGTTCTCCATTCAAATAATGTAGCATTTCTCCAGAAGCCTGAAAAATTAAGTTTCATAAATGTTAATCTCCTTATATATTGATTTTCCTACAAAAATATGATAGTTTCTATAAGTTAAGCATTAAAAGGATCAGTACACTTCCCTGCTGATCATGATGGAGTCAACAACAGAAGTGAAAACCAAATTAATAAACATGAACATGCAAGAGTGTCATGATAGCGTCACCTCAGTATTTCTGAAGGAATGACAAAATATACAAGTCTCAATGGTACTTCCATCCAAATCAGCTAATGAATGAAAGATATTCAAGTTAGAACAGTCACTCAAATTACATTTAATCAGGTGTTGGAAATCATGAGTTAGTTGCACTTCGTTAGTACCTTTGGTATTCCCTCCCATCGAGACATTTTTCAACTGATCATTCAACTCTACAGAATCATTGAACTTTGTATGCTTAGTGCCACAGTTAGAGCCTTCCTCTGGTGACATATCAGCGAACTTCCTCTTTACAGCCTGAGAAAATGATATTTCACTTCATATAGTGTACTATTTTTAATATTTATTATAGAAGACATGCTTGAGTATCATCTAAACTTACTGGAAGATGAAATTAGAGAGGACATGCATCAATCACATTATAAAAAAATTAGCGTCAATGCATGATCCAGCATAGAAACAAATGAGAATACAATAGTGACTTACAAGTTGCCCTTCATCCCAACTGTCACTATCAGAATCTCTAAAATTATCAATTGAAGGACTTAATTGTATTTGATCAACAAAATTGTCAGCTCCAGTAAAATGAGTGCGCTTCTTCTCAAGATTGTTGTTGCATGAGATGGGAGTAGGTACATCCAAGCCTGCACATTAGGAATAGCATGAAATCACTCAAAAAAGGAAAAAAAAAATATAGCCAAACCATGTTCATATAAGTAGAAAATATGCACTCAAGTGGGACAACTATTAGTACCAAAAAAGTCAAATGAAGAACTTCGCTGCAAAGATGATATAGCTGAACTCATGTTTTTGTAAATAGTAAGAAACTTTTCAATATGAGTGGCAGGCCTCAAATCTGTAGTAGTTCAATCAACAAACTGCATCAACTATAAAATTTAAAATTCAACAAAATTCAAGTTAGAATAAAACCTTTTTGTTCATAAGGTTGTCTGCAATTAGGACAACTGTAGCCATCATTTATTGATATCCCATTACAAGAACTATACATGCATAAAGGATATAAATAAGTAATCATTAAGAAAAATTAGCAAAAATCCTCAATAGTAAGAATCATGACCTGCACAAAATATGATCACAAGGCAACAACATCGGTTGGTTCAAAATATTCAAGCTGCAAGGAAAAGTGACATGAATAAGAGACAAGAAATAAAAAGTTCATAACATAATGATTAATGAGACCAAGGCATATGAGACTTAAAACTTAATCCCACATCAAATAGTTGAAAAATATGTTGGCATAGAAATACCAAATGATTTACTCTCACCATAAGCATAAGCCTTTGGGTTGAAAACAAGTTTCAACAACTAATACATCTAAGCACCAACTTTGATATCCCTTTGATTCACTCCTTAACAAGTGGTAACATAATCAATAATTAAATTGGAATAGAGTGGTTCATGTGATGGTGGATCCCAAAGGTTTTGGTGGAATCTACCATAGATCAGCAAAATTCAATAACAAATGTCTCTTACAATTCCTACACAAGATTGAGTAGGCTCTTGGTACATAATACTTGATGAGTTTTGTTTGAAGAGTGATAGCATTATGTAGTGTTCTCAAATGAGAGAAAATTATTAATGCACATAAGAGTTTGGGTCTATTCATACATTTGATAGCTAAAAACAATAGTGATATAGAAATACCAAATGAGTGGTCATCACCCAAAAGGCTAGCCAACTTCAGTCCATGTTTGGTTCACTCCAACTATATATGAAATGGCCAAATGAATCTTCACCAGCACTACTTCAGGTTAGGAACTTTATTTGATTTCAACCATGGTTGGGTAAAGATACTTAATAAACAGGCAAGTTCAGCTCAGGCCAACGTACTTCCTAAGAATCAGATTAATTAAATTACACTCTCTTATCAAACTTACTCAATGTCCATCATCGTGTCTATCTGAATCCATCTACACTCAACTAGTATTGTTTATCAAAGAAATTGCCACTCAACAATTAAAGCATTCGCTTCAGTCATACCTAGGTGTTACAAAGTGTGAACTTCTCATTTACCGAGAGGAAATCCAGATAATAAAATGGATAGTTGTGACTCAATATTTACGACCAAAACCGGAACTGAAATTTCAACAGGATAAAAAAAAAAGGATCATACAATGGAGCATTTGCAAGCATAAATATATATATCTGTGTTTATTAGTGTGTTGCAGCACTAGAGGTGGAACTTAGGCTTACACGGAAACCAAAACCATTAAGAAAAAAGACACAAATAGGCAAGGAAAGATAAGTCCAAATCTCCAGAAATCACCAAAGTGATCATACCAAGGCAAAAACGCGTTAACTCAAAGCATTGCAACTCCATAAGAACACTTTCCATTGAAGCAATTCAAGTAAGAAGCTAACATGCGCGGACAAAGAATCTAAGGCTTCGTTTGGGACGGCTTTCTTACAGCTTCTTAAAGAAGAAGCTTTTTAGTACACAAATTAAAAATTTTGTACTAGAAAGCTGCTTTAAGAAGCAGTAAGACATCCGTCCCAAACGAAGCCCAACTTATAAACTTGAAGCAAATCTACAGAAGGGTCAACGATGATTTCTGAACCTATTGCTACCAAATAAATTAAAAATAAAGCTTTATCAAAACAATACATAAGAAACTTCTAACATGCACGGGAAAAATCAAGCGATTTTTGCATTATGCTAACATGTTGATAGCATATAAGCTCATTTAGAACAACAAAATGACCTCTCATAATCTAAAACGCCGTAAATACATATCACCAAAAATAACTGGCATCTAATAAAATCAGAAGAGAGGAAGAACACGTCCAGCAGAGCAGGTTTGAAGAAACAATAGCAGGATCGAAGTCATCAAGAGTCCGCCGTAAAGATCGTATTTATCTTAAAAAAAAAAAAAAAACAAAAAGGAGGGAAAAGCGTTGAAGTTCATGGAATTTTCTCCTATAGCAGAGCATATGAAGACTAAACACCAAAAAGCTACTGAAATGGTAGATTTAGGTTTACCAGGTCGGGCAGTTGAGCTCCAACTCCAACTTCTTCAGATGGAGGACGAATGGGTTCAGCAGTCGACTGATGCCCTCGGACTCGGAAGATGCCATCTCCGATCTTCCACCGTTTTCTCAGGCAATTTTGAAGTGGTTCCACTCTCCAATTTGACACAGATTAGATGCCACTAGATTTTTTTTTTTTTGTTTTTTTTTGGGTAAACCCGGGGCGAAAGCCAGCTCAGAAGTAAATTGCTCTCCAAAATCGAATCTGGGAGGAACTTGAGAGGCAAGGAAGCAGCATCCTCCAACAGTAATGCAAGGAGGAAAAAGTATACCAAAATGTAACAAAAACGGGGCACAAAAACAAAAGTCCCCAACAAAATTTGTATACCCCAATCTCCAAAGCCAAAAACTAGACAAAAAGAATGCACCAGATAGTCCAGATAAACCGACGAAAGGCACAGAATAACAACCCAGAATAGCCATTATATTCCAGCAAACCTCCTCAGCAACCCGTCTTTGTTTTTCCATTTCGAAACTTTAAATCTAATAGCCGAAGATATGATGCAGATAAGTTTAACAGAGTTTAAGCACACATTAGAGAAACGCCTATTGTTCCTCTCACGCCAAATGTAGTAGATAGTGCAGCTAAGCGTAAGACAGCAAAAATCTTTTTCTTGTCTATTGTAAATCGGGGAAAGCTCGATAAAGTCAAAAATTTGAAGTAAGGTAGGCCTCAATAAGAAACAATTTAACTCCGGTAATAATCTGGTGAGTATCGAAAAGGAGAACTGGCAACCAAAAAATAGATGGTTGTGATTTTCGGGATAAATTTGACAAAAAGAGCAAGAACTGGGCACAGCAATGCCACGAGAGATCAAGTTATCAGCTGTTTTGAGCTTCCCAATAGCAGCCATCCAAGTGAAACAAGCAAATTTGAGAGTGTGTTTTTTGTGCCAAACCGAAAGGTACCAGTCCACCTTGGTACAATGAGAGTAGAATTGAGCTATAAAACCTTTAAAAGCCCAAGTCATCGAACCCTCCCAGAGAACCTCAGAGTTCTCCCAGATATTGCAGGAAACAATCGCCTCAGTGGTGTTAGTGAGAATCGGAGTAGGAAGAGACCAATTGCCACACATAATGAAATCTTTAGCCACTTTACCATCAAACACAACGTTATAATGTTCATTCGCCAAAAAAGAACCATTCAGCCATGGGTCCCAGAGCATGGAAAAATCACAGTTAAGACCAACCTTGAAGGTAAGAAGGTCTTTGATTTTAAGTGTGGTAACATGAATTTTTTTCCAGAACTTTGAGGCAGTAGACGGGGGAGGTTTCCATGGTGAAATGAAAAGAGATTTATACCAATCACATAAAAGGTTTTTTGTGTTATAAAATCTGCCAATGAAAGAACAGAAGACTCCATGGTAGAGAGCTTCAACCGAAGGAATGCCAAGGCCCCCAAAACATTTTGGAAGGGTAACAGTTGACCAAGCAATGAGGTGTAATTTCTTGTCGTGTACGTTGCTATGAAAAAGAAATCTGGAACATAGTTTTTTAATAGTGGCACAACAAGATTTTGGTATGATGGAGCCACGGATCCAATAGGCAATAGTATTGGATATGGTAAATTTGAGGAACTGAACCCTACCTGCAAAAGAAAGAAACTTAATTTTCCAACCATCAAGTAGAGCAGAAATTCTGCTCAGAAGTGGTTGGAAGTGAGAAATATGAAGTCTTTTTGGGGAAATAGGAAGGCCCAAGTAGATGAGGGATTCTTTGACTTGATGTATCCCCAAAATCTCACATATCTGAAGCATGTCAGATCCAGGAGAAGAGAAAACAATAGAGCTTTTAGTTGCATTAATTTGGAGCCCAGATAAAGATCCAAAAAGGAGCAGGGAGGAGTTGAGGGCAGCAGCATTAGCCCTAGAAGCAGTTCCAAAAACTAGAAGATCATCGGCATACATTAAATGATTGATGCAGAGATTCTTACAGTGAATACCATTGAAGCTGTTAGAGGAGTTGCTGAGAATATTAGAGAGACCGTCCATTACAATGCAAAATAAAAGGGGTGAAAGGGGGCATCCTTGTCTGAGACCAGCTGAGGAGTTGAAAAAACCTTCAAGTGAACCATTAATACAAACAGAGAAGTGGACATCCATAATACAACCTTTTATCCAAGACACAAAGGCTTCAGGAAACCCCTTTTGGATTAGCCTAGCTAACAAAAACTCTCTAGAAACAGAGTCGAAGGCCTTCTTGATGTCTAGCTTGGCACAAAATTTCTTGTGAGGACCTTTGAAATCCCTAAGAATTTCAGAAGCTAAAATAATGTAATCAGTGGAGCTCCTCTTAGCAATGAAGCCAGATTGACTATCATGAATAATCAAAGGTAGAACCAACTTCATTCTATTAGCTAAAACCTTAGCCACAATTTTGTAAAAGACATTGCAAAGCGAGATAGGCCTATAATCATTAATGTGGGAGGCATGAGAACATTTAGGGATCAAAGTAATAGCCGTTGCTTTCATACCTTTGGGAAGAGAGGCAGTGAGAAAAAAGTTTTGGACAGCATTATAAATGCTCAATCCGATTAAGTGCCAAGCCTTTCTGAAAAAGCCAAAAGAGAAACCATCCGGCCCCGGGGCTGAAGATTCCTTACCATCAAAAACAGCTAATTTAACCTCTTCATAAGAAACCGGGGCAACCAAGGAGTCAAAAAGGTGAGGTGGAACCATCTTGCCAGGGTTGATATTAAGGGTTGCCGGTGGAGAAAAAGAGGGATTGTAGAGGTTTTGAAAGTGGGAAACAATGGCTTTAGAAACCTCTGTATGTGAATTAAAGTGGCCTTCATCAGTGGTTATTTCCTTGATGTGATTCTTATTGCTTCTATGCCTCAACTTAGCGAAAAGGAAACCAAGGTCATCCTCACCTTGAGTGAGCCAGGAAGCTTTGGCTCTTTGTGCAATCCAAGAGGACCAGTGGGATTGCAGGACAGCAAGATTTTCATTGATATTTTTTAAGTTGCTGTTTAGAAGAGTATCCAAAGGCTGATTTTGAAGCTCAAGCAAGCAAGAGTGCTGTTTAGCTTTAAGGTCCAAAATGGAGCTAGATAAGAAGTTGGAAGAAGCCCAATGCCTGAGTTTAAGAGATCTTTTGAGACATTGCAAACTGTGAGAGAACGCAGCAAGAGGACTTCTAGAAGTTTTAACAGAAAAAGCAGAGTAGACATCATCCCAGAAACCTTCCATATTTATCCAATAGTTTTTGAATTTAAATCTAGCAGAAGTAGGTTTAGCATGGCTTGAGATAAAGATTAACGGGGAATGGTCTGAACCGTACGGAGGTTCAACTTTATAATAAGCCAACGGCAGATGATCCAGTAAAGCAGAATTGACCAATATTCTATCCAATTTTATATGAATCGGGGTGTCCACTCGTTGATTGCACCAGGTATAGAACAAGCCAGTAGAGGATAAATCTTGCACACCACATTTGAAAACAAAATTATTGAGCTCCCCAAATCTACTATCCGAAAGACTAGTGCCACCCGCTTTTTCAGTCTCAAACCGACAACAGTTAAAATCACCTAAGATGATCCACGGCTGGTCCAGAGGGGGAGTAGAATCAATTAATTGATTCCATAAACTTCTGCGTTCCATAGCATTATTGCAAGCATAAACAACAGAAATGAAAATAGGGGGAAAAGATCCCGCAGAAAGAATCCCGTGAATCAGTTGAGCTGAAGTGTGGATGGGATGAAAGTTGAGAACAGTAGAATCCCATTTGAGCCAAATTCTTCCAGGATTGGAATCCTTGAAATTATTGTAACTTCCTTCATTATCAAACAACAAGTGTGAATTCAAAAACCAAGGGTCTTCAACTGAGGACAGAGAAACTTTTGCTTCCAGAACACAAAGAAACTTGAGGTCATGAGATTGGATAAGGGATTTGCAAAACCGCACCTTGTCCGGGTGATTGAAACCACGGACATTCCAGCTCGCAATATTGGGTAAGGACATTAGAATTTCGTGGCTTTGGCCTTCTTGGCCGATTTCCCTTTGGGAGGCTTTGCCTTGGCTGGGGATTTTCCTTTGTCGGGTTTTGACTTTTTGTCCGTGGAGGTAGAGGTAGTGTCAAAGGAGTCCGGGGAATCCTTTTCATTGGTAGGAATAGTCGAGGAGTCATTTTCAGATAAGCAATCAGCAGCATTAGCAAGGTCACCATCACCAGACTGGAGTGAGGCGAACTTGTTAACAAGAGGTAATTTTGGGGTGTTGAGAAGACATAAAGGAGTAGGAATATCTGAGGAGGAAGAGACTTCAGTGGGGGAATTCAAATTAGGAAGAGAAGAAGGCTTATCTGGAAGGGGAACAGGGTCTGTGATAGGAGGAGGAACGACGTCCTGTTTTGGGCGCAGGATGGGCGGAAGAGCCGTTGAATTGGAAGGGGGACCAATCGTGGCAGGGGAGTTAGTAGGAGGCTTAGAAGAAGGCTTAGTAGAGGGGGATCGGCGAGGTTGGGAAGTTCTGCGCCTGGAGGAGCTACGGCCACGGTTTTTAGGGGGCTGGGGGGGAAGGATATGCTGAGGATTGGGGTTTTTGGGGCAAAGGGAGAAAGGATGTATCAAAGATCCGCAACCTTCACAGCGATCTGGTTTCCAGTCGTATATAACAGGAAGAACCAAGTCTTCCCCATCAATCTCAATTGGGATTTCATCATGTAAAACAGAATCTTTTGAAATTAAAACACATACCCGGGCAAATGTCAACCTGGTACGATTTGCGGTGAGGGCGTCAACCGAGACCGGGATGCCTATGTAACTGGCGATGCGAGAGATGCCCGTCGGAGTCCAGAGGGCAAGAGGGAAATCAACAATTTTGATCCAAAGCGGAATAGGCGCAGCTTCATCGCGCTTTGGTTTGAATTTCGGAGACCATCGTTGCAGAATAAAAGGTTTCCCTAGAAGGAACCAAGGGCCACCCGACAAAATGGACTCTAGATCTTCAGAGGTAGAAAACTTCAGCAGAAAAAAACCATCTGCCATCGAGAGCAGGGACATGGATCCTTTGAGAGGCCAGAGCTTCTGCATGGCTTTGAGAAGCCGCTCATAATACGGACGAGGGCCAAGGGAGTATCCGATGAGAGCGTTGTTCCAGATAGACTTTCCCTCGGAAAGGTCATTCACATTAAAAGAAAGCTTTTTCTGGCCGGGGGAAAAGAAGGAGACTGGAAAAGTATTAGGTTTGGAGGCAGGAGCTGAGACGTTATCAGCATAGGAGAGACCAGAGGGGGGGAGGCCAAGGACCGAGGAGTTGGGAAGTGGAGGGAAGTCCTGAGAAGGAGAAGCCATCCCAAGGAGGGAGGGGGAGGATCCCTCCCAGGAAGGGAGGGAAGAAAGTATGGCGGCGGGAAGGAGCGCAAACCCGCGGAACTCAAAACCCTAGCAGAGCTCCAAGAGCTAACTGAGCTTTACACATTTTTATGCATCAAATGTTACTTTTTTCAAGATGCCACTAGATATTGATGGCGTTTCTCCCTAGACATCGCTGTACTAAGATATAAATGGGCGCAGAAATGAGAAAAAAAAAATATTTTTTTGTGAAATATCAAGTACAAAATTTATAAATATTTGTTTTTTTTATCATAATACGAAGATCAGAAGTTCTCAGAAGAAAAAAAATACTCTTTTATCAGTAGATTTCCAGTATTAAAAGTTTAAAACAGAAATTTATAGAAAAAGAGATTTAATTTCAACAACAAAATAACAATTTTCAAAATCCTGAATGTTACATTTCAGAAGTTGAAGTGAAATCGAAAAAGAAGGCGCAACCGCGCGCGGGAGGGTGGCTAAACTTTCGGTTTTGCCGCCTCCACCTTCAAAGTTTGAGCATTTTTTCATCTGACAGTGCCCCCACCAAATCTGGCCTGAAGAAAAAAAAATTTCCCCGCTTGCTGTAAATCCTTATCATTTCTTTATTCACGCTTGCTTGTGCCAATCAAAGAAGTTTCTTAAACTCTGCTTATCATTGCAATTCTCTGCTTTATTAATTGAAAGGAAGAAAATATGTCAAATATGATATTTTTACTTTATTTATATTACTTCATTATCACATATAATCTCTTGAAGGTTTATATGCGTATTGCTCCATCAAAACAAAATTATGTAAAAAAAAGATTGAGATTAAGGAGAATTTTTTTTTTTTGAAAAAAGTTAATGTTATAATCTTAAGCTTCATTTGAGATAGACTTTTTTATTGCTTTATTTGGAACGAATTTTTTCATGCTTCTTAAAACAGCTTTTTAATAAAAAATTAAAATTTTTTAACTTAAAAGCCGCTTTATAAAACAGTAAGAAAGCCGTCCTAAACAAAACCTAAAACAATTTTTTAGTAACAAAATTAGAAATTTTGCACTAAAAAATTACTTTAAAAAACAGTAATAAAGTCGTTCCAAATAAAGCCTTAAAGTCCCTTGCATTCTACAAAAGGTTTTAAACAACCCCTAAATTTTGCAACTAAACACCTAAAGGATAGTTTTATTGCAAGGAAAGACTCTCCAATACAAAAAATAAAATAATTTTCTTCTAAAAAGGGAAAAAAATGACTTCAAAGATCTTCAAATAATTTTTTTGCTACAAAGTTTTGATATGCAAATTGTTATCAAAATAAGTACATATAACTTTTTGGTATATTAGTAAGTAGGGTTCAATAAAAGTAATAAAATATAGAAAATTTTTGAACTAGAATATCATTCAATTATGATGGAAATTATAATCATCAAATTTATTTTAAAATAAATTAAAATTTCTGTTCTATTTATCTTATAATAAATATAATAATATTAATAAAATTCATCGTGATCAAATTTAAAACACAATATCTTCAATACACGCAACGACTAAATCATAATCAATGCAGAAAATACACAAAGTTCTTTTGAGACATTACGGTTTCATTTGGGATTGATTTTCTTACTGCTTTTTAAAGCGGCTTTTTATTAAAAAATTAAAATTTTTTACTAAAAACATGCTTTAAAAATAATAAGAAAATTGTCCCAAATAAAACCTAAGCAAATTTAATCGTAAAATCATGCACAAGTCCAAACACATTAAGTCTCGAACCCATAAGATTCTAGTTGCAAACCAAAGCTTTACCCATAGAGTAAATTGGCAACACCCATTATTTATAATACAATTGCAGCTATTAGGGTAATAATATGAGAATAATTTAAACTTCTCATACTGTTTCAGTGTTCACTGCTGCTTCTGCCTTGAAACCATATGTTCAGATTTCTGCAGAAGACACAGAGTCCAATTGAGAAATCAAAAATAGCAGAATAGAAAAAATAAAGCAGGTTTCATAAATAGTTAGAATTCAGCTAATTGAAGAAATGAATGAGTAAAGTTAGAGCAAGAGTTTTTTGGCTGTCAACTGTAGATGTGAAGCAGAAGAAATGTCACATAATGCATAGGCTTCCAGGCAATGCGGTATTATAAGGAGACATTGATGTTTGTAGTTTGAGGATTTGTTTAAGGCAGCAGTAGCTTATTGTTAAATTTGTTGATGAATTGGTATGTAAAAATAGAGTTTCTTAAAGCTTTTGTGATGAGGACAACATCCGCAGAAAAACCTGACGAGTTCATCCCCTACTAATTCTCCCCTTCTACCCTTCCCGTTCTTTTTATTTAAGCAACAGCCCCTCTCCCTAACTGCCACCTCCTCTTCACTTTCAGCAAGCCAAGCCCAAACTTCCTTCCTCAAACCGGGGACAGCCAAGTCATTCATGGATGGTTGATCCTGAACTTGATCACAGCTTCATATTTGACAATCAAGGCTTAGACGACATTCACCGGTCTCCCTTTTTCGACATAGACCAGACCTTCAAAGAATATGTGGATCAGATTAGCTCCTCTCTTGCAACCGCCATTGACCATCGAAGACCTTCTGTCCAGTGGCAACTCACCTCCAGCCCACCCACTACTTATTTTTCAGGTAACTTTCTGTTGTTCAAAATCTTAAATGTTTACTTCTTCTTGGTGACATTGTTAATATCATATCAAGCTCTCTTCCGTTGAAATTATTCGAAGAGTGTGAGTGAGGGAGCTTCATTATGCTATTTTAATTGTTAATTGTAGGATTTGTGTGACTTGTGGATAAACACCTATTGTTTTAATTATTATTTACTGTTCTCCGCCAATACTTGTGATTGTTTGCTATTAATTATCAACAATTGAAAAGGCGCTTAAATCAGCCCTTGATCACCATTGTTATATAATTGCTAAGCTTGTCAATTCTTTATTATTCCTAAACAATTCCTGAATCTAGCATATGTTTCACATCATGTTATTTGGTAGTATAAATATTTTTCTTTTCAACAACAACAACATTAATTTTTATGCCACTATGGGGTCGGATACATGAATTCTTTTTCTTCAATGAATTTTGTTAAGAGTCAAATTCTCAATTAAATTTAATAAAAAAATATCATTTTTAATATTTTCTAGTCAATTTTTTTAGGTTTGTCTACTTTTTTTTAACAAAAGTCGTTTCTAACTCTCCTAATCGGGTCATCTGAAGGCCGACATTTTATTTCTTACAACAGAGATTCAATATGCAAAAAAAAAACTAATTTATTAACACGAAAGCACAACAATGAGAAAGCCGCCACACAAACCCTTACTCTTCCATTCAAACACTATGATTTATCTAGAGCGTAGACCAAGTGTGATCGGACCATTGCTAAGATCTTATGGTAATTTCAAATTCATAGTCAAATCAAAATACCATGTCAAGTTGGATTTGAGCGAACTAAAATCTGAATATGAAGTTGATGGTATTTATATTGGATCAGACTATGGGTACAATAAGAATCAACTAGTTTGCTTTGGAGTTGGATCATTTTTTGGCAACTTGGAAATTCCTAAACTTTCTAGTGATCTGTACTTGATATTGGGAAGAGTTGGATATTCTGGCAGCAAAGCAAAGGAAAAGAAGAGAACATTGTGAGGACTATAGGAAGGGTTTTAAATAGGCAAGTCAATTGATTCTAAGCTATTGGATCTAATTAAGTTGTCCAAAAATATTATTAAAAAAAAAAAAAGTAGTCCAAAAATATTGGCCATATGTATATGCCATGGGAATAAAGTGAGAAATATTGAGGGTTTATGCTAACTTGACAGCTAATATTAAAATTCTATGATAAAATTTATGCCGTAAAAAAAGAAAATGATAATTGAAAAGAAAAAGTTAGATGGATTCTATACTAAGAAGGAAAAAAAATTACATGAGAAAATGGAGATTTGTTAGCCAAGAATTAAGGACGAGAACACGAAGGAAAAGAATGGTGAATGAAATAGTAATTATAAGTTGTGGAGCTTACCTTTCATCTTCTGAAAAAAATATATCATATACATATAATGGAAAGATCATTGCGGTGTTGAGAGTAGAGGGACATCTTATATTTCTATTAGAAAAATTGAGCTATATTTCTTCCCAATAAAATCATAGTGAAATTTATAACAACAACAATGGGATACAGAAATAAATTGCATAAACCCATATAAATTTTTTCTTTACTATTTTTCCTTTTTCACTCATATTTGCATTAGTGGTAAAGCCACTCCTCCACCTAAGCATCCTCATCTCTGCACCACTTAACTTTTAGCATAATACTAAGTTAAGTTGATGGGGACATCAGTTCGTAGAAGGTTTATCAGAGGCATGGACGCTGATCTACGGCCACGATCGGTCTTTATATTTCTGAGCTATTTATGTTATTTTCTTATTAATGTATTTTCTATTTTTTTCAGTGTCGTGTATTTGTTTTATTATTTTCCAGTTGTACCCTTTTAGTGGGAATCATCATATGTAAGCCCGGAGGGCAAGATTGTCTTTTATTTTCTTGAGTCCTTTGTACTTTGGCTATTTATAGCCTCGTGTCTTATGTTTGAGGTAATGAATTATTATTATGAGATTTTCCTACACTTGTGCTTGAGAGCGTTTGAGAGTTCTTGGAGAGAACTTTGAAGATATCCCTAGAATAGGGAGATCGGATCACCCACCAACCTTGGAGACGGCCGGGTTCTTGGTTTTATTCTTTATCTTTTTGTCCTTCCCCTTCCACCTCCACTGCCAGACTTCCTTGCATCCAGACCCCCTTAATATCAAGGCCGTCACCTCCTCCTAACCGAGCTCCACAAATTCGCTCCCCCCCCCCCCCCAAGCCGCTGGCCATCTTACCCGAAATCCCCTCCATGCTGCCAGCCCTAGCTCCATAGCCGCCGGCCATCCCCCACTCCCCTTCTTCCTTGAGTTTCCTAATTGGGTTGAGGATTAATTTAGGATAATTTTGAAATTCAAAATCATTTGAATTTGAATTAAAATCTTTCCTAATTTAACTTCTCTATTTTAGGAAAGTATTTATTCTAAGTCTATTTTGAATTTTAAATTCAATTGGAATTAAAATAAATCTTTCATAATTTCCAAAACCTAAATTAAGAAGCCATTATGGCTCTCATTAATTGTTCCCCTTCCTCTATAGCCGCCGGCCCCTATCAGGGATTTAAATTAGGAATCGCTTCCTAATTCCCACCTCCCCTATTGGAAACAAATCAAAATCCTCTCATCCCTCTTGGCCGAATTTTCCCAAAGCCCCAATTCCTAAATTATTTCCTAAACCAAATACTGGAATTAGGAAATAATTCCCCATCCCTCTTAATACTGCCGGCCTCCTCCTCTCCCTAGCCGCCCCTCTCTCTCCAATCTCCTCTCTCCCCCATTATTACCCCACTTGACTTCAAGCCTTAATTCTCCCCCCAAAGTCTCAATCTCCTAAGTATATAAATCTGAAATCTTCTCTCAGATTTTGGAGAAAAGTCTGAAATTGTTTTCAGATTTGGGAATTTTTTCTCTCCACTTGTAAGAGAAATTTCTTTCTCTTATACTCAAGAACACTATCAAGCATTAAGGAGAACTTATCTCAATCACCCATGAATGACGAATCTGGAAATTGAGTACAGTCTAACTTGGGACGAAGATGGCTTCACCGATATTCTTCGATCAACTTCTTCGAGGTGAATCCAAGGGTTGGTCATACCGTCGAGGACTACGTAGAGCGTATTCTGGTTACCCTGGTGGAAGCAATCGACGAGTATTTTGAAGGCGTCGAGTGGAGGATCTCCACTGCTCCTTGACGAAAGATTCTCTTTTCCCTTTTCATTATTTCTTAAATCTAATCTCTCTTGGCTTTGATTACAATCACGACGGACAACTTTTTACTGCTCATGCTAAAGCTTAGTAAATGTAGGGTTTGAGTGCACCTTTATGCTTACTAGCTCTTGTTGTTAGATTAGGGATTTTCTTGAAACTACTACTTGTCATTGTGTTATTTTCTATTTTATTTTAGAAGCTTCAAAGCTCTTGCCACGTGATTTAGCCTAAGCGGGTGTGACCCCTTATTTTTTTTAATTCGTTGTTTTGAACTGCTACTAGTATTACTCTACAATTATTCTAATCAAGAGTAGTACAAATTCCATATGAATTAAATGCATTTCATATTTAGTCCTGCATCATAAGTGTTGCATAGATGAGGATGCTTAGGTGGATGAGTGGCTTTACCCTTAGAGATAGGATACGAAATGAGCATATATGCGAAAAGATTGGAGTAGCTCCAGTGGAAGATAAAATTAAAGAAAATCGCCTTAGATGGTTTGGTCACATTAAACGGAGGCCATCCGATGACCCGTTTAGAAAAGTTGAGGTATTAGATTTGACTTATGTTAAGAAAGGTAGAGGTAGACCTAAAAAGACTTGGTTAGAAAATATTAGAATAGATCTTTCTATATTAGATTTAAATGAGAATTTGACATCTAACAGGACACAATGGCGAAAAAAGATTCATGTAGTCGACCCCACGTAGTGGGACAAAGGCTTGATGTTGTTGTTGTTGTTGTTGTACTCATATTTGCATTAGGTTTCCCCTATTTGCACATACTGCTCGAATATAATAGTTATGATGCAAACTACAGTTAGTGGAAACTTTAGCATACATTTAAAACAATCTTGACCATAGTCATAGTTTCTGAAACTTCAGTGTGCATTTGAAACAAACTACTTCCATGTAATTACCACGTCATGCTAGATGATTGGTAAATAGCAGTTTATAAAATAGGAAAACTGCTTAAAAGGGAAGGTTAAGTACAGTATTGAAACAAACGCTACCGGAAAATGCAAATGAGGTTAGAATGCTATGGTTAATTCTTCCAAAAATTTGCACAAAGATGTCAATATCATTGAAGAAATGAAATTCATGGTTTTTTATCAAACGCTTTTATTACGTTAATTGATAAATTACCAACCTGCTCACTATAAGGAAGATACTTCCCATCAAAGGTGATCACCACACGATCCTTACCATCAACTCCTTTAACCTTATCAACAGAGCAATAGAAATCTATAGCAGACATTCTGTGAAGAAACCAAGTCAGTGATGCAGAAGGATTCAGCACTTATTTATTAAATATATGTATGCTCCAAATCAATTAATGGACTTGGAATGTAGATTCCATTTTAAGAAGAAAACAGGAGCAAATATTTATCACTCAAGCATGTTATGGTTTACAAGTACAGAATTCAGGCATTAATGATGAAGAAAGATATCAAGCTGTTGACTATAACTAAAAAATATACCAATCTATAACCTCCGTATGTAAACAAACGCTAGTGCTAGATTCAACTACTAACATTTTTCTAAGCACTAGAACAAGAAATGGATATATTTGTTCCACTAGTTTATGAGCATTGGTATGTTGTTTGCCACTTGAATTCCTTTAAAAATATTGTCTGGGCTAGTTAACCAGGGTTTGAGACAGTGAACTTCGGGTGAAATCCAAGAACAAACAAACTAGGTAAGCTTGGCCCACAATTCTAGGTTTAGGAATCAGGTGATACTACCCTTATGGTTCTCAACAGGAATTTATGAGTAAAAATTTATAAAGGTAAGTTAGTAGTTGGGATAAAACAAATGATGATAAAAATGACCAAAACCTTCTCCCAAGTAGGCAAGTAACAACTTGCTTATGGCATTTTGTGGCTTTTGACAATGTGTTAGGCCGCCGATTCAAGGTGAAGCGGCTGAGCCGGCTCAAGTTTATAGGAGGCGGACTAGTTCCGCCTCCTCTACCGTGGCCGCCCAAAGAGATGGGTCTCACCCATCTATTTGATTTCAAAATTCAATTGAGGGGGCGGCTAGGGCTTTGAGAGGGAAAATTAATTAGGAAAGTTTTGTATTAAAGAGGATGAGAGGGATTAGGGAAAGATTATGTTTTGATTGCTTGGAATTAGGGTTTCTTGGTGTTTGGGCTCTAAACTCTCTTGTCTAGAGATTTTTGAAGAGATGATCCCCCTCTCGAATTGAGGATCTCTTGTATCTTGCTTGGTGTTTGTTCCTTTTGCTTTCTATAAAGATTTTGCTATCGTGAGTGTGAGGACATCAGTAGACGATTCCGGCACATCTATCACAGGAGACGTCGTAGATCGACGGCCACGATCAGGAGCATTTATTAATGAGCTATTTTATGTTTTTCTATTTTTGTGTTTTTGCATTAGTGTTATTATTTTAGTTATGTTTGACCATTGTACCCCTATGAGGGAATGTAGTAAGTCGTAGCCCGGAGGGCATGTTTATCTTTGTGTTTTCTTCTTCATGGAGGCCTATTTATAGAGGCCAAGACTTTGTATTAGGGATGATGAATGATGAATAAAATGTCAGTTTTCTTTGCTTGATCTCTAAGTGAGTTCTTGAGAGGAGAAACCCTAGGTGGGTGAAAGCAATACCTATCAACCTTTGGAGGATTCCAAAGTTCGCGGTTCTACGATCTCTTTGTGAGTTCTTTGTTCTTTTATTTTAGTTTTCATCTTCCTCTTCCCTCTTTCCTATACCGCCGACAATCCTCTCCCTATCTCCCATCAACCACTGGCTTTCCCCTCCCCTTGCTTCAAGCTCCGACCAAGCCAAATTCTCCAACCCCCACCGCCGGCCACCCCTTACTCTTTTTCCTTAATGTTGATTACAATCCCCATTAAGACTTTCCTAATTCAATTCACTTAATTTTGGGAAGAGATTTCATCCTTTTGAAATTCAAAATTTGAATTTCAAAAACCTTCCTAAATTGACTACACCAAATTAGGAAAGTTTTCAAATTTTGAATCTAATTTAATACTAAATTAGATTGGATTTCTTCACATTTTTCCTAAAGTGAGTTGATGCATTAAGGAACATTAATTTCCCTCCCCAAACCCCTCTTCCTCTATGCATGCCGTCGGCCCCCCTATTGATCCCCTTTCCTTTTTCTTCTCTCCTCACATTAACACTACCTAATTTTGGATTTGGGATTCAAATTCAAATTTCCCTCCCATGTTTGAATTTTGAATTTCAAAATTCAATCCCTTTCTCTTTCCACTTGCCACATAAGCATCAATTAATTCCTCCCTTAATTCTCCCATAGCTGCCGCCCCGTCCCCTAGCCAAAATTTGGGTTAATTTGAATTCAAATTAATCCTCCTCTCTCCATTAAGCATGAGACGAGTCCCGAGCTTGACCCCGGACTCGTCTACGATCAAGAGGGTCTCATCAACATTCAACAATCTTCGTTCGCCAACCTAGATTTGGAGCTCGACAATTCCATGGAAGGATACGTGGATATAGTTCTCTTCCAACTAGCCACCACCATTGGGGATGCTTCTCCGACAACCAATGGTTAATTGTTCGCTGCCCACCAAATCCTTCGAATCCGGGTAACTCTCTGTTAGACATTACTCTCGGAGCCTTCTGTTTATTAATGGCATCAATTTTATTGTCTAAAATCTTTTTCCGTTAAGTCCACTCCAAGTGAACGAATGTGAGGAAAACTCCTAGGCGAATTTTCTAATTGTTAGGAGGTGGATTCATTGTTATTGCCATAAGTATTGCTACCTTTGAATTATCTTAATATTATGTATTTTAATTGTAATTCTTTGCCTCTCGAAATCAAATACTAATGATTCCAAGAATTCTATCTTTTGGTGAAGCATTGATAGATAGTTTTCATAACTTAACAACTTATATTAATTTCTTGCAATTCTTAAAAACATGTATGTTTCACATCAGTGTGCTTGCTTTTCTACGACGTTTCCATGTTTTTCCTCGCTGATTTTACTGATTTTGGTTAGGTTTTCTTGCGAACTCAAGTAGATCCGATAGGATTACTTGCGAACTCAAGTATTTCCTATCACAATATGCGATAAAGCAGTGAAAGTATTACTAGAATATTCATACAACTCGTAACATTTCACTTCAGATACTCAATGACCATGTTATTAGCATGAGTTGGCTAACAAGTGTTTTCCATTCATATTGGAAACTGTGTCAAGAAAAACTAGGGCCAGTCTCTCCAAGAATTAGAATGATGCAGAACAGACAGGAAAGAAAAATGATTATCGAACAAATAAATGTGAAAGAAAAAGATTGACCTGGAGTATGACATTCTCTAGTAACAGATCAGCTCTTTATATATATTATTATTAAATTTGAGAAGTCGGCACTCATTAACTTACATGCCATCACCAAAATCTTCATTGATGACTTCTTTGATGCTCTCTCCAAAGTGCATAATAGCTTCATGTAGCCTGAAAAGTTCATACGTAATGAAAAGCAATGTTATTAGGAGGAATTCAAAAGCAAGATGCAAATCAAGATCAATGTATTAGATGTGGTTGATTACTTCAAACAATGGGCTTCACCTTCAAGGTTAAACAACAGTTGTGATTAAGCGATATATTCTTTGTGGACATTGGAGAGAGATAATAGTTGATGTAAGAAAAAGGCTCGATGTCTTGTTTGTATAAATATTGTATGGATGATGTGTTATTCTGATTATTATGGACTGAATAGAGAGTTTCCCTTGAATCCCTCACACTCTCCTACAAATCATTGCCCATTTTTCTCTCTCACCCCAATAGTTCTTCATATATGATCACGCCATAGGTCCATTTTCTCCGCATCCAGAGACTATCATGTCTACTTTCTTGTTGAGCATATAATTTCTTATATCAGCACCTACATATTGAGTGAGCTCGATTTCTTCAAGAACTAAGTAATCCTTTTTTCTCTCCTTAATTCTATCATAAATCAAGCATGGTTAGGGCTTAGGAGAAAATTGTATTGCTTGCAGTGCTATTAATCTGCATCATCATGAGACATGTACATAATTAGTAATTACCTAAAAAATATATGGAATTGTTAATTGTCATAAATATATTTTTTTTCAAAAAAATTCGGCAAGTCCTAAAACCAATTTTAATTGAACATAAGAATTTTGTGAATTAAAGCTATTGCCTAAATTTCTATTTTTGTGAGCATTTGCATTCTATATTGGTATATACTAGCATCATATCATTGCATTATAGACTTTTTTCTATAGCTAATATGGTTTGCATTCATCAATTTCAACATTGTTCCTCTTCTTGTGCATCTTGCCACTTGTAAAAAACAGATTCCTTGACACATCAAATTAATGCATAGTTTAATTCAATTGACATACTTAATAGCATATATGTTTATGTATTAAAAATCATTGTAATTTGAGACAAAGTATAAACTAGTATTCCTGAAACAATCATCTAGATGAGACAACTCATGGTCTCACAATGAAAATGGATAAATTGATGAGAATGAGCACTTGGAAGAAAATCAAAGGATGAACCTCTCCAAAAGACCTAGTTCCTGATACTACAAGTCTACACATCTTTAGAAAAAAATTGACAAAAACTATTGTTCTTAGGTTTGTATCTGTTAACAAATTATATGAGAATATCAAAAGGTTTCTAATCAACTAGAATCTCCTCGTCATGCACCTTGAGTAGATCCTCTTTGAATCTCTCAACAAAAACCTGCAAGGGACTCTCACAAGTTTTTCCTTAAGACTCTAGTTATCCTTCTCATAGCTTACATAAAAAAGATATTGCACACTCGTAATCCTTTTTCTCCCCTTAATTCTTCATTTAAATAATATACAGGAGCTTTAATCTTTTTATTACGATCAATTTTGATCATTCATAATGCATGTGTTGCACTTTTAACATTTTTTAAGATTTTTGTAAAAAAAAAAAATTACTTTGAAATATTAATCAAAGATGGAATATCCCTAATAGAAGGATCACTGTAATATTTCTCAAATATAAAGCTGTGTATAAAGCCTTATCAAGCCAATGCTTCAAAATTACTTTGGGTTTGTTTGGTTTGTTGAAAAATGAAAGAAGAGTAAAAGAATTACACTATAAAATAAAAGACGTACATTTGAAATATTTTAGAATTATCTGATTGAGTACAAAACAAATATTGAAGCTTATTTTTTTATATTTTGTTTGAAGTAAATAAATTCAATGTAAAATTCGACAACAATGATCAACAGTAGCAATCGCTGATGGTTGGTGGTGGCAGCGATGGCGATGGTGGTGGCGGTGTAGTGATCGGTGGGGCGGTTGGCTACTACTGGTAGTGGTAGCGACGGTGGTGGCGGTGGTAGCCATCGGTACGAAGTGTTGCTGGTGGCTAGCAAGGACAACATGTGGCATTGGATGGCAGCAATGACGGCTTGTGGCATCTTCGAAAACCAATCAATTTTGGAATACAAAAAAGTGTTTGGGGGGGGGCATTTTATAATTATACCCTATCTACTCCTTTTTATTTACTTAGGAGGATCGGGTTCAAATTTAATAACCCGCGCAACATCCCTAGACGTCACGTGTGTACCAGTAACAAGCTCACTGAGGCCCATGCGGGTTTCATAATTTCTTTTACCCCTTTTAGTGTACCTATATGTATACAAACTATAGTGCACGCGCGAGGGTATTTTTGAAATATTTAATGAGTCTTCTACGACAGCTCGTAGAAGCTCACATTCGTTATAGTGCTTTTGTATATGTTCTTAAGTGACATGTTTAATGCATGGAGGTCTTCTATAATGGACCGTAGAAGCTTATGTTTGTTGTAATACTCCAATACTTGCATGTAGAAGGTATGTTGGATGCACGACCATTTATAATGATTTGATTTGGCTTTCTCTTCCCAGAACTCGTCTGGAGATTAGTAGGCAACTCCTTGATTGCACCATCCTCATCATTTTCTGTCGTTGGCTTAAATAAAGGATCAATCATTTCAACCTTGGATGATTGCATTCTTCATGGTGCCCCATGCTTCGAAATCATAGACCACTGCCTTGAACTGATAACCATAGCAACATAAGATGCATTAAGTTATCTATCGCACTCACTATGTGTTGACCTTCAACATGCGTAAGCAGCTACAACCTTTATCGATGAGTCGATTATCATTGATAATAATAAGAATCTTTTTCATGATGATCTCTTCCCTTTGCTCATAGGTAGGATACACTTTCCATGCACATATTGGTCCTACACTTCCCATTGTCGGTCCCAAACAATCATATGTATGCAATACAACTTTCTCCTCTTACCATCAGTTGATCCATGCTATGGATGACAACATTATTACTATTGTCAATAGGAGACTTACACTCTAACCCTGATAGCTTTCATGAATCGTTTTCAGTACCCATTGAGGGTCTTGCATTATAGTTTGTAGGTAGGTTATGCCACTCCCTACAAGTTCTGATCGCTTGTGAATACTTGTTTGCACCATAGGTCTATCAAGCTTGTTGGTACACACCACATTGTATGTTGGCATTCATATTTCGAATGTCTTTAATTCCTATTGGAGATTTCATAATGTTTGTAAATATTTATCTGAAACTTCAACACAAGTCTCTCATTTTATTGATAATACTCCTCTGGATGACTTAGAGATGACTTGGATTCATCAACTATCTCTTTGTATATAAACCAGTGAACTATTGTATTCCTAATGTAACCTTGGTGTTAAAAGTGTTGTTGTAGGTATCACATCCATCCCTCTCTGCATACAAGTTGACTGGCAGGGTAATCACTTTCACTTGCCTCTTTCTTATTCATTGATTTCCGCTATGCAATAATCTTCAATGCTTGTAGGAGATTAAGACATTTGCTGGCAGTCTGATTTGATGGTTGTAGAAGCATCCTAGCCTTTAGTATAATGCAGTGATATCATTAGGTGAGACTCAGATGGATCCTCCTCTTTGATTATCACTTGCATGATGATTCTTTAACCTTTAAAAGCTTAATGTTATGACTTAAATTCAAATTGGGCCTCTTATAAATTGTTCACATTAGTCACATTAAAGCTCAAGTTTTTATTAAGTTATGTTCGTGCTCATTGTAGTCCAGATCCAGATTCGAGTCCAAGTTCAAATTGAGATCACCTGTTGTTGCATTGTGCTACTTGCAAGTTCAAGGTTGATTCAAATCTTTTATGGTTCAAGACAAATATTTGCCCAAGCTCAAATATTCAAGTCATGCTTAATATGCAAATCAAGTCCAACTTGAGTTAGGTTCATTTGTGTTCAAGTCTTAGTTTCTTCAATGCTCAAATCAAGTTTGAGTGCAGCCCTTTGTAGTTCATCAAGTTCATGCTTGAGTTCAAGTATTAAGCTCAAGTCTTCTGTTGTTTTCTGATTTGAGTTCAAGTAATCCTTGTAGTTGTCCCAAACTACAATCTCAAGTACAAGTTCTTTTGCATTCGCTCTTTTGAGTTAAATCAAACTCTCTTATATTTTCCAAATTCATTTAAGTGTTAAGTTCATTTTGTTCAAAAAGGTCCATGTCCAAGCTCATTTTTATTCAAGTCCTTGGATCTTCGATCCAAATTTCGACAACCTCCCGGCATCTCCCCCGTTTAGGGGAAAAACCAAAAGGCAACATTTACCCTCAACGCTACGTGAGCGCTTCATGTAGGTGTCAAAAATGACACCGCGGTCGCAAATGTGTTTTTTTATCTCCGCCCGCTACGTGAGAGTTTAAGGGTATTTTTTTTTTAATAAGAATAAAACACGTTAGAAATAAGCACGAATTTCCCCCCTCTGCACCACGTGGGCGTTCGGGGTGCTTATATAAAAATAAAGCAAAATAAAAATATATTTTTTTTATCCCCTTCGCCGCAAGCGTCGCACCGGTTTCCCGTCCTACAACGCTACTTGAGCGCCTCGGGGGTTTGCCGACTTGTTGCTAGCATTGAGGAGGGATCCTTAAATCGTCGCAAGCATCGCAC